CAAAATGATAGAGCTTCTAGTAAATATTATAGGAACACATTTTCATGATTTCAAAGTAGCCCTAAAGAGGTCAGAGAATGTACTAGAAGAAGTTGGTTAAGTCTGACTATATTAAAATTTAAAATTTCTATTTACCAAAAAAGTACTAATACATTGAGTGAAAAGCCAAGGCACAGGGTAAAAGGACAGATTTACATGTGTGAACAAAGAGCTAGTCATTAGAGGTCCTGAAAATCAAAGAAAAACACATAGCCCTCAATATCTGAATAGACATTTCACACAAGACGAAATCTACACGGCCAAACATGAATGTTTTCAACCCCACTGGTTAATAGGAGACTCCAAAATTAAAACCACAAAGCAATACTGCTATACATTCACTAGGTGGGCAAAAAGAAAAATCTAACTATTCCAAATGTTAACAGAGATGTGGAGAAGTATCCTGATACACTGCTGATGGCCAGCTAATGGATTCAATTGCTTTTTAAAACAGTTCTGCAGTATCTGTGTCACCCAATGAACCTAAAGTAACACTCCTACAGAAATGAGTACTTCTATGATACATATGATGAGTGCATATGTGCAACAAGACTTAGGCATACATAATTCATACAGGAGCACCACAAATATTGCCAAATTATAACCTAAAACATCTATCTTCAGAATCAATACACATATTTTGGTAATGTTCTTACAACGGAATGCTATAAAGCCATAAAAATGAACTGGATACAAAAAATTTTTGCAAACATAATATTGAATGAAAGAAGTAATTTATCACAGAAAATACTCTGTATGACTCCATTTATGTAAAGCTCAAAATAAAATACCATTATGGAATTGTAATTAAAAAATAAATTCATCATCATCATCGTTATTATTATTATGAAGGAGGAAGAGTGGTATGATGAGGAAAAAGCAAACAGAAGACTTCCAAGGTACAAGTAATGTTCCACTTCTTTATTAGTGCTAAATAAGCAGGTATGTTAAGCTTCTGATTTATATTTTATGTATTTTTTGTATGTTTATTTTTCATAATACAAAATGTGGGCACATGGAAATATGTCTATAGTAAAATGCAGAATGGAAGTTAAACAAACTATGGCCAATATGTAGAATTAATATTCTAGAATTAATATTCTAGTCAGTTAAAACAAGTTATGCAGTTTATTCAAACGTGTTGTATATGTTAGAAAACTTAAGGAAGAGGGGCTTTCTATTAATCTTGCATGTTCTGCATTGTTTGCCTTTTCTCTAGTGGACACATTACTTTGGTATTACTGTTTAAGCAATGAAAAAGAACACAACACGGACATTTTCTGAATAATAGTTAAATCATGTCATGTCACCATAAGTATTTTAAATTGTTATCCTTATCTAGTGTTTAAGAGTGAAAGTTGTTTT